GGGGAGAGGAGAGGAAAGCTGGAAGGGACCTTGGAGGTCTTCTAGTCCAGCCTCCTGCTCAATCAGGAGAACCTATACTATTAGTCTAGTCCAGGTCTGTCAAACTCCTGGCCTATGTCATGTGCTGGCCACGCCCGGTTTAGCAAAGGGGGGAAAAGTCCTGATATGTCACATGACGACGCTGTGACAATGTGAGTTTGACACCCTTGGTCTAATCTTTTCTTAAAAGTGTCCAGTGATGAAGCACCCACAACTTCTGGAGTCAAGCTGTTCCACTGGTTAATTGTCCTGTCAGGAAGTTTCTCCTTAATTCCAGGTTGCTTCTCTCCTTGATTAATTTTCATCCATTGCTTCTTGTCCTGCCTTCAGGTGCTTTGTAGGTTGACTCCCTTTTCTTTGTGGCAGCCTGTTCTGACCAAGGCTTCCTGAGACACCAATAAACACATGTTAAATCCAAAAACCCTTTTATTTTAGTTCAACGGCTGTGAATTATTGTCATTCACAGCCCGTAATGAGTCTCAACCAGTTATAAATAGTCCCATGGAAGTCTGCCAAAGTCCTTCGGGAGAAGTCTAATAAGTACGCACCTTTATCTTTCTTGAAGTGCTGCCAACGACTAAAGTATCTATTAGTCTTTCAAAATCAAACAAAGTCCAAAGTCCACACAGAGCTTCAAGGTTTAATCTGAACAGAGCGAACAACGTTGCTTCCTGCAAAGGTTCCTGTCCCTTTGCATTTCCTTTATATCTTAGGGGAGGAGCAATCACCTCCAAGTCTTACTATCCCATTGCCCCTTTTGTCTAACTGCTCTTGCCTTCTGGCAGCTCTGCGCACACACGAATTGGGTACAGGCTCCCCTTGTTCCTCTGCCTTGCTGCTGTCAGATTCTGGAGGCTGTACATCTATGTACGGTTTGTCTGTCTTTATCTATCTATCCATTCCATGCATCTATGTATCTATGTATCTATCTATCTATCTATCTATCTATCTATCTATCTATCTATCTATCTATCTGTCATGTATCTTTCTATTACCTATCTTATCTATCATCTATCTTTCTATCTACCACCTATCTATTAATCCATCCATTCCATCCATTAATCCATCTCTGTCTATCTGTCTCTATCTATCATCTATCTATCTATCTATCTATCTATCTATCTATCTATCTATCTATC